ATGCATGCAAACAACGATACAGCAAACTGGCGACATGCGCCCACACAGTACTCAAAGATATCGTGACCAGATAAGAGTTCTCTTCCAACTGGCAATGGCGACTGTGCGCCCWCACAACTCACTGCTCGCACTCTGGATCACCCTGGATGTCCCACACACAACACTCTGCACCTACACGCATCACACACACATGCACTACTACCGCTATGGCAGCGCTAGCTGCCACTACCCTAGCGCTATACTACACTCCTCTGCCCACTTCGTCTTCRGGCACACTGCAGACCTCCTCGCACAAGCTGCTGAGGCAGCGCTTCCKCATGGCATCCGCAGGAATGAATGAATGGCTGGACGCAGCCTCTTGATTTATACTTCTGCGCTGCGTTGGTCTGCCCTGTGTCCCTTGGCCCACGATGTGCACACAGTCCCAGACGGTACTTGCTGGACAGGACCGGACTGACTGTTGACTCAGCGAGGTGGCCTCCCACCACTTGACCACTTGCCTCTGCTGAACGCAGGCTAACTCCGAAAGGCCACTTCTAGAAGTCTCTAACTTGGCCTTTCGGTACTGTAGCAGCTACGACTTTGCCCTTTCAGGTAAGTAGCAGCTACGACCTTGACCCTTCATGCATCCTACAGCTACGACTTCGGAACTGTCTAGACTCCTACTCTACAGGTCTACGGTTCGATTCCCTTCTACCCTGTGACCTACGACAATCTACCTACCACTGGTGTTCCTACAGGTCGCAGGTTCAAGTCTACGGGTTGACACTAATACTGTACACAGGTAAGACAGGGAACTAGGGATCGAGCCCTGGGATCTGCATTCGCTACTGCGAATTGGTGAATACCGTTTCAAAAGCACCTACACATACAAAAGAAGGGCTGAAGAAACCAGTCTATGACTTAACATGAGTATAAAATACTACCGTCAGTTTCCTTGCATAGAGTGAAACTTCCCCAGCCCCCTCTGCAGATCGTCTAGTGCGGCAGCGGTATAAAGCTGGACTCCTTTCTTTTTTTTTTCTTTTTTTTTTCTTTTTTTTTTTTTGAAGAATCATTAGCTTTTATTACAAATGAAAGGAGGCCGGGAATTCCTTACAATCAACCTGGAAGATATGAAACCAATAGCCCTAATTGGGCTGTTGCTGGAAAACGGGTCCAGACCATCCTACTTGGTGCTAAAGTTCAGTCTGTACCAGCTAGCAGATCATTGCAGTGCCGCTCATCGACACTAAACTACTATTGAACCATGCTCAGCTGCCTAAATGGGTAGTGTTACTTTCCGCCAGGATCCAAATAGACGGCTAAACCTTAGAAACAAAAACTAGCCTATAGGCTCAATGACGAGGAGCTGGGAAGGAAGAATAAGCATTAGGGTTACCCGCTCATCATCACTGTCCAAAACACTGTAAAGAGCCTTTGTTGCCCAGACGGGTTTCCCACCACGCATCCAATGGATACAACTCTAGTTTGCTCTTTACCAGGTCTCTCTTACCACCAGGCCAGTGCCTCTTGTCACACTCTCACTGCTCCTCGACGCACTGCTGCTGGTAGTCCCGTGAGTTTCACCCTAAACCACTACAAACGTTCCAACATCAAAACCAATATAAACCAAATTCCTGCACACTCACAATACTATAGCCCATTACTATATCCGAACTGTTTACATGACATGTTTCTAAAACCAAAACACTAAAGGTGATGCATGTAACAGAACCAAAAAGAACAATACGAATTTCACTTCCCACTGAATTCAGGAAACAACAACATACCAAGGGATGGCGGTGCCCTAAAATACAACTGAAAGACAGCAGCACAGAGCAAGCTCTCCCACTGCTTCCGCTGATGCTACTGCCAACCTTCATATATTTGATCTCCAAAGTTGATGTATCCACCTTGGAGAGTCGTCTGAGCGGAGGTGAAGGATGGAACCATCAGTACAGCCAACTGTAGAGTGCATCAGGTTGTCTCCTTGGCAGTGTTGGCAGCACTCCCACCGCCATCGAAAGCCCTCCCACTGCTTCTGCTGACGCTGCTGCCAACCTGACGTGAAGAGGTGAGTGAAGTTGAACCACGCTCCTCTTGGGTGGTGAGAAAGGAGCCCCCCCTTTCGAGCTTGAGGCTTGAGGGGAGGACGGCTCCTCTGCTGTCAGGGTCTCATCAGGTATGAGGGTTTGGTATGGTATGAAGGTCCGGTACAGGGCTGCCAGGATGCCCTGGTGTAAGAGCGCAAAGGCACTCCCTATCCCACTCAAGGACTAGGCTACACCAGGACACTGTCCGCCATGGCTTTCACACAGCTGTAGTGCCTGGCAGGGTAGGCACATCATGAGAGGATCAACATCGACATGCTCAGACGCTGCGCTCTACTCAGCCGCAACAGACGACCGGGCGCCGCCACCGCCGCTGTCGCCGTTTCATCGTTAGCGCACTTTTTCACGCAGCCCCCCTGGCTGGACTCCTTTCTCTCATCTGTTACTGCCCTTCTTTTTCAAACCTGAACATTGTTCTATGATTGCCGGCGATAACCAACCGGACTGCTGCACCCACGACTAGACGGAGCCTCATCTCTTAAAATAAACAAATAAATAAATAAATATTAAATAACCATCCGCACAGAGAAAAACATGCCAGCAGTACTCGAGTCCTCTCCGAACCGTACAAGATAGTCACCTATCATACAGCTCTCTATTCCTTTTTTTTTCCTTTCTTTAAAAAAGGTGGTCTGCATTCATTGCATTCAAGATCAAGGAGGCCGGGAATTCCTTCACAAACAACCCGGAGATATGTGAGGCCAATACCCAGCTTAGGCTCACTGCTGCAAACCGGCTCCAGCTTCCTTGTGTCCTGCGAACTGAAAAGAAAATCTGGATAAACAGGCAAAGCAGCAAATAAAGGGAGGATTCTCTGACTATTCCCGGCACGGACCTGTGGAAGTTAATTCCAAGGTCTGATGGTTTATGGGAAGAAAAGGAGGCGGTGGCAAAGGGCCAGTGCGGATGTTGTTTGTCCTGGCCCTGCTGGTTTTGCGGCTGTGGATCTCCACAATCGGCGGCCTCAAACCACCACTGCTCACAGAAATACATTTTGTTGAAAGTTGAAACCGGACAACAGGGTAATTCCTGCGTGCAGAGGCCCCACCT